CGATGACTTGCAATGAACTTGAGCCTTTTGAAGTGGCTGATAGAACCACTTTTCATATAGACATGCACACGTGTGTTACTGCCAACACGTAAGACTTAGCTAGGTAATTTCAACATGGCTCTCGTCACTTCCATATCTAAAAGTCCACACCAGGACGGTTTCACAAGCCCCAGGACACCAGAAGTAAAACTCGTCAAGTTTAATGAAGAAAGTGTGGAATTGATGCATACACAAGCCATGTTCGCACATGTCTTTTTGCTGGGCCAATTTAGTTTAATTGGTCTGCAAAAGTCTTCAAACTATTATGGGTTTATTCCTCATATCGGATGATTGGAGAAGCAGATTTTTTTTCCAGCATTCATACTGTACGTGTTTCTGTGGTCTTTCCGCTCTGCAGCATTTGTACTGCAGGGCCAGTGCATTCAGATGATCTGTTTGTTCCCTCCACCAAGGAGGTGATGTTTTCACCAGCGTTGGTTTGTGTGTTAGTTGGTTGGTTGGTAAGTGTGTTTGCCTGTGAACAAGATAACTCAAAAAGATCTGGACGGATTTTCATGAAAATTTTTCTAGGGGTGGTCCTTGGTGCAAGTACAAATCGATTAGATTTTGGAAGTGATTCGGATCTGCATCTGGTTTTTTTATCTTGCCAAAGTGTGTGTGGTTGATATTTATTTTAAACTCAATCTTTGAATTTAGATTAAGCACTGGGTTGAATTCATTGCAGGTTTCCTTATACAGGGTGAGTCAAAAAAACTGAAACCCAAATGTCGGGACCATTGTTTTAGTGAAGTTCTGCATGTAGCACTTTTAAAATATAGAATATGAAAGCCCAATTCATAAACTTTCTTTTAGTACAAGAATCATTTGAATCACTCATGTACTTTTCAAGTTACGGAATTTTAAACACAACCACCGTTTTAAGGTTCTGTCCACGGATCAAAACAAAGTTCAGTGTTCTTTCAGCAAGACAAAAACAAATCATTTAGGGATGCGTGTGAAGTGTTTTCGTTATGCTGAAAGAACGCACACCTTTTTTGTGATCCAGGGACAGAACTTTAAAATGGTGGTTGTGTTTAAAATTCCTCAACAACTTGAAAAGTACGTAAGTGATTTGAATGATTCTTGTACTAAAAGAAAGCTTTTGAATTGGGCTTAATGTCCTAGATTTTAAAAGTGCTACATTACAGAAATTCAATAAAACAATAGTCCCGACATTTAAGTTTCGTTGTTTTTTTTTACTCACCCTGTATGTTGTTTAAGTATGACTATATTTCATTTTCATTTCCCTTTTTGCTCTTTAGTAAATTTGTCCAATTAATGCTTGTAGATTCAAAACAAAAACGAAAGACCTACTAAAAACTAGTACATGTATGGTATACATGTGTCATTTATATAGTAGTGGTGGGAGAAATCAGAGATTTCGAAATCCGGTTATACTAATTTTTTTTTTCAAACCGAATAACAGTTATCCAATTACACTGGTATTTTCAGTTCAGCTCACATTCATGCTAAAAAAGTGACTAGCGAGATGCCACATTCAATGTGCTCCAGAGGTGAAAATGGTGTAATGGTGAAAAAATGGGCGGGAACTCTCTGATCAGTCAAATTAGTAGGCTATTTATGAACCAAGAAGACCACTAGCGAGTGAATGCGGTTACAATCAGAGACCATGAAGCAAATTGGGAGATGTGCCAATTTTATTCTTTAGCCTGTGTCACAAAAAAATGGAAGGCTTAATTTTTTGTCAGGTTGGGTTTTAATATCCAGTTTTCAAAATCCAAACCGAATAGTGGACTTCAAACCGAATTAAAAAAAAATCCGGATATTAAATCCCACCACTACGTAGGAGTCAATGCAATTATAGTCTAGTTGTGTGTACCTGGGAAGAATCTTCTGGCTCTAGGCCTAATGGGTCGATGAACCCACGCTAAAAGCACCATTGCTCTGCAACGTGCAATTGGAACGGTATCAAGGGTCTTAGTTGATCCCACGAGGGCATTAATTTTCATTAGGTGGGACACAATCTGTCCAGATTAGTGACCCTTTTTGAAATAACCTTGATGAGATTTATGCTGATGAATCGCATATCGTGTAGCCATTCCAGAGGAAAGGGTGAAAAATGCATGTACTGACCAGGGCCCAATTTTATGCATGCCGCTGTTTACTCTGCTTCCTATAACACAGTAATTTTCGCGTACTGCAGCACAAAATTCCGTGCGTAGGTATAGCATATTTTAGGGGTTAGTGAGGCAATTTTACTTATGCGTATGCGTACCTCCTGTAAATAAGGATTCTTGGGCTCACAGGGTTGTAGCACAGAATTTTTCTGCTCGTGCCGTTAGCACAGAATGGTGATGGTAATTAGCGAAGAAATATTTGGTTAGCAAGCCGTGCAATTGGGCTCGCACAGCAGTGGTGATTGCTCAATAGCACAAAGTTGTATGTGTGGTGAGATTTTTTGGGGGGTGGGGGCGGGGGCTCTTAACTTTTTCCATCCCTTTCTCTTTGAAATTTGTCGGTTATATTTTCTGTGAAAAGTGATTGCAAACTCCAGAGGTTGCAGTTTTAGCATCAACACAATTAATCCCAAAAAGGTATAAACAAAATTTCAACAAATGGCCAGAAGAATTTACTGCAGAATTCCCGAGTACAATATTGTAATGCACACGATTATTAAAATTACAAGTCCAGCCCAAGATTATGGGATAAACACTGGCCTCTCTATTTCTTAGTACTTATAAGGTCATACTGCTTCTTTTTAAATATTTCCCAAGTGTTTGATGACAAACTGTTATTTGCTTTACTTAGGGGCCATTCAGAATTTTCAATGTTTTAAAATTTCGACTTTTTTTCCAAATTATTTTGACCCACCCACCCACCCACCCCTAATTTCGATTAATAAAAAACTGAACATGTACATGTACGTGCACTTGCATGTACATATACTTGAACATGAACATGTATACCCCTGTTCATGTATGTCTAGTTCAGTGACGGCGTGAAGTTGTCGGTCTTCCTCTTTTGCACTGGTGACTTTCAGTTTTCTTGTGTTTTGCCAGCTGATATGCTGTTGGGAATGACAGGTTGCAGTTTTGGAAGCCACAAAGATGACCATGGTTTTTTCGTTTTCTGGATAAGGTGGATGACATGTGACATACGAGGTTGTGCCTGTCACGTGAGGTAGCTGAGAAAACAATTTGGAAAAAAGATCGAAATTTTAAAACATTGAAAATTCTGAATGGCCCCTTACAATGTTGTTTTTACTTTTCATTATAGACACGTACTATCGTGCACAGATTTTGATGATTGCCTTTAGAACACTCGCACAAATACACCCACCAGTGAATGAATTACTGTCCCCAAGGATCTTGGGGCCATAATAGCCACTCAGGTGCTTTTGTTTGTCTATATGCCTGTAGGGCATGGAATATACGATGAGTTTTCATAAACAGGCAAAATGAATTTCCATAATATAGTGTGCTTCAGTAAGCCCATTAAAATAGTACAAGGTCGTGTTTTTTTGTTTTCCTTTCATGCACTGTCCGAGCATTATTACAGCGATCAATATTCCGACAGATATCATTAGAGATTTGTATTGTAATATGGCAAGGTCGATATTCCAACCTGTTTTGTAAAGAAATTGAGTTTTTGGATATGTGTTTTTGTCTGGTATGCACAAACCGTGTTGTAGTCGGCAGATTATTACAGTGTAGTGTCAGTCAGGACCTTTGTTGCGATGGATGAGGTTGGCGTTATCCCGCGATCGTCCTCAGCCACACAGCTGATTTGAGCTTGTGCCTTGATTTTTATCGTGTGTATGAGTTCCCTAGACAAATGTGAGCTGATGCATGTTATATGCAGACCCGCTGCCCACTCGCTGCTGTCAGGATATGTACATCTGAGGCAAAAAAAAAAATTACAGTGTATTCTCTGATTTGAGTATCTGCTCGGTAGCGGTACATGAAGCCGTCTTCTAATTGGTTGAGTGCGCCGGCACTGGGGAATGGAAAATGTAGATCAGTGGAACCTGTGTTGTTGGGGGAAGCTCTGCTGTGCTGGCTCAGTTGGAACTATACAATCAGCTGAACTGGCGGGACGAGGCTGGAAAGGTGTTTGCTCGTTGGCGGATGTTATTTGCCGGACACAAAATCACACCTTAGACCTGGTTGGCAGCTTGTGTACAAAACTGGCTTTAATTAAGCGAGACTAACATAAGATGCTGTGAACTGACAGTTCTGAGGTGATGTGTCAAGTGTCCAAAAAAAGGGACCTGGAGCTCAAGATGAAAATCACACCACTATAGCAGCCAACGCAAACTATCAAAGTGTTCGCCTCGTGAATTTTACGCATGTACGCGTTCAGAGAATCTCAGCTTGACGATCAATTCCCTGCCAGCTTTTTTGTCTGCCAAGAAGGAATCATTTTGATGGGAACAGCATGTGCACATCTTATAAATACTTAATGGTTGTGATCATCGCTGGTTTAGATTGCTATCAGTCTCTGTTGCAGCTCATCATAGGGATGCTCTGTGTGTGTACAATGGAGGCGTTGATGTGCTCATAACTTTGGAGCTGGCAAATTCTAATACAGGTCATGGATGACATTTTGAGGAGAAAAGTGTGCATGTTTCTAAGAAAAAACGGTTTCAACTTTGCAGAGGATTATTGTTGTCGGACTGTTTGAATTTAAGGGAGGTACATCTACACATAGTTGGACCTTGACAGTTCATAAACCGAATTTTAACGAGGGTACTTTTTAATACCAATTTTCTGCAATTTACTCCTTCGCTTTGTTGCTTCCATCGTGACCAAGTCAGTGTTGACTTTATACAGGTTCGTTTTATTCCGATACATGCATATTGTCTGACTCATTTTATGCAAGATCTCACAAGCATAAATCTGTCTGTGTGAGAAGTGGCCTCTGCAATGTAATGTTTATTCATTTGGCAGTATCCCTGTAGTGTCCGCCCCCCCCCCCCCCCTCTCCGAACAAGATACCCCGTGTCATCAATTGTGACATTTCTTGGCAGGCTAATAAGAGGCTAGATGATGTAAATTATGTATGTGGACTAGCTGATGGGAAGGTGTGAACTTTTTCGTGGAAAAAAAATGTCCTTTGAATAGCTTGACTTCAGCAGACAGCGACTGTGAATCATTTTTGTTTTGTTCCGTGGAATCTTGAGACTGTATGTCATCACATTTAACAGACAGAGCCAGCTGCGCCCTTCTTAACTGGAGATTTATTTGAGGATACTGTAGCCGCGGAAGTTTGTATTAAGTGGAATACTTTCCATGAACGCTCAGTGTGGAAACTGTGCTTTAGGGATTGTATCCATGTCGTGAGTAAGTCACAGTTTCTGGGAACTATATTTCGGATGGGCCAAGTTTCAGTGCCACCAGCCAGTGGGTTGGGAAATGAGGTTTCTCAGGACCCATGGGGTGCATGCGTCTCTTTTCTTGGCACCAAATCAATTTTGTAGTGTGTATGAAATGGTATGACCATGACTTGATAAGGAGAGTTGTGAAATTTCTTTTGAGACGGTGAACTTGATGAACTTCTTTTTGACCTGCGTGGTATGCCAGACTGATAGGGACTGCCATAGCAAACTGTGGCATGTTGATGGTATTCAACACCCATTACATGTCGAATCTCCATGAGCTTATCTGTGGAGTTGTTTATGTTCAACTTGACATGTCACATACACATAATTGTCATGAGTTTTTCAACCATTGTTCAGTGTTTGTCATTTGATACCCATTTTGACATTGAATTGACTATTGTAGGTCCATAAATTGTTTGCCAGTGACTAGTAGTTCGACCTCACTGCTTAAGAAAGGCCTTCCTATAGTCGGACTGCATGGAGATGTGTCATCCGTAGCAAATCCCAACCTTCAGGCTGTTTTGTCACGCGCTGATCGTTGTTGCTCCAGTCTCTCTCTAACTTTTGGTGGGATATCACTCCGTGACGACATTATCGCTTTCATCATCATTGCAGCGGGAAAAAAATAAAACTCTCAAGAGAGTGCCGGGCACTAAGTGGTCAGTATATAAAGTCCGTTGCCGACCCGTTATCATCATCGCCCATGACACTAAACTGTGCTTTCATGCGGCCGTACGGGGCCCACTTACCCTGTCGCTCTCAGCGTACGCGTACGCCCAGCAACCTGAGTCCGGTTTCCCCGTTGCTGTCGCCGTACCACCGGGATCGCAATCAGCCGCTCAGCCCGCACGACGGAGGAGAGATGTCACGCTTGGGTCTGAAGATACGCAAGCTCTCTGAGCCGGTATTCAGGTAGGTGAATTGTCAACAACTAGCTTGCAAACTTCTCATTTTTTTATTCCCGTGTTAACTTATCCTACAATGCTTTCTGAAATTTATTGTACCAATCTTTTGAAGTGATATTAATTCTGTTTGGTGTCAAGTGGTATGCGTTGCCAGACTGAAGAAGCTGCTAGCATAGCAGTGAAACGTCACTAATTTGTGAGTAACATCTTCACATATTCCTTATTGGATTTATCAAAAGAGCTTTTCAGAAATATTCTGACTAACAATCCAGATGAATTTATTCAAAGAATTCTGTTTGCTTTTTGTGCAACAATTTTTCGTTGTTTTTAACAATTTGCCATGCATTTTTTTTTTTAATGGATGCATTTGTCTAACAATAACAACTGAATGTTTCAATTTATTACAAATTTCAAACCAAATTGTATCTTACCATGCAGAGCTGCATTGGTTATTTTCCATTGACACATTTGTGGAATTTCCCACCGTCTGAGTTTGCTGTTTTATAAATAAATCAGGAATAAAAGTTCAAGAGGAATTTGACAGTAAGCAATATCTCAGTACACAATTTCAGTTTCATATTTGCACGACTCGGCTTTCTATTTTTAAAGGAACAAATGTTATACTGTATTGTGCTTCTAAAATGAACACAGAATATCCCAAATTAGACGCTTATATCTTATCAAGTATCTTCTGTCCTTTGTGTTTACTTCTGTAATCAACAGATGTGGAAATAGACACCTTTTGACCAGAAACAAGTTAATTTTGGGTAATTTAGCGTGTATACTCGTACTTTGGCCCCATTCAAATATTGTACCAACAACAAGTTTTTGCCATCGATCAACACTTTTTCAGCTAAAGCTGCGATTCATTTGATGAAGCTCATGTAAGGCTAAAGATTAAGTGTAAAGACTTTTTTGGGATGAATATGGCTTCATTTTAGTAAGTTTCCTTTCACTTTGTAGTTCTTTGCCTTTGAAAGAGTAGGAAAGCTTGTTTCGAAAATCAATGCCCGGAGGAGACTGATATAATACGGAACAAAAGATTGTAAAGATCTCCACAAGGCAATTTCTATAGGTGAATACGTCTCCACAAGGTTATCAGGAAATAGATGTATGGATTTTACTCAAAAACTAGGAATTTCCAAGGTATACTTATATGCCGCAAATTAAAGTATTTTATGTAAGGGATATTTGGTCAGAATTTCAACCCAGGAAAGTAATTTGGGTTGAAATAGGAGCATTTTGAAAATAAATCTTTCGACCCTCTCACGATTTTGTACTTGAGAACAAAGCAGTGTTTCCACGTATGGGTGCACATTGATGTTGTGAAAGACGTGAAAGACGTGTGTATACACACGTCGTACGTTTCATTCCTTATGATTAACTGTGTGTGATATGTGATTTATTGGACATGTAGTTAGTTGTTATAGTTGTACCGTGAAGCCACAAGGTTATCACGAAATAGATGTATGGATTTTACTCAAAAACTAGGAATTTCCAAGGTATACTTATATGCCGCAAATTAAAGTATTTTATGTAAGGGATATTTGGTCGGAATTTCAACCCAGGAAAGTAATTTGGGTTGAAATAGGAGCATTTTGAAAATAAATCTTTCGACCCTCTCACGATTTTGTACTTGAGAACAAAGCGGTGTTTCCACGTATGGGTGCACATTGATGTTGTGAAAGACGTGTGTATACACACGTCCTACGTTTCATCCCTTGTGATTAACTGTGTGTGATATGTGATTTATGGGACATGTGGTTAGTTGTTAGTTGTACCGTGGAAAACGTAAAATATTTTCCCACCTCTCTGATAAAGTCATCGGTTTCACTCGTAACCCTAAAGTTCAGGTTTCCAGGATGCAGCTGTCAGATAAGAACCCCAGGAGGGAATTTATTGTTGGTTGCCTTGGAAACGGGGTTGGCGTCACATCGTACATTAATAGTTCACATAATACTGCAACCCTGGTCCTGCATACATACGCAGAAATTCGTGCACCTATTGTAACACAGCATTGTACACTATAATTGTTGAGAAGTTGACACAATGGAACACTGTGCTTCAAACAGCTGATTCATCTAAAACCTATTACTTAGTACCGGTAGTGGTGGGATTATTATCAGGATTTTTAACATTCGGTTTGAATTCCACTATTCGGTTTGGATTTTGAAAACCGGATATTCGAAACCGACCTAAAAAGAATTCAGCCTTCCATTTTTTTTGTGACGTAGGCTAAAGAAAACAACTGGTACTAATTTGCTCCTTGGTCTCTGATTGTGACTGCATTCACTCGCTAGCGTCTTCTCGGTTCATGAATAGCCTGCTGATTTGACTGATCAGAGAGTTCCTACCCATTTGTTTTTTTACCATTAGGGCTCCGGAGCATATACCATGCGCCATCTCACTCATCCCTTTTTTTTTGGCATGACTGTGAGCTGAGTGAAAAGTTCCTGCAAAATCGGATAACCGTCATTCGTTTTACACAAATTAGGATAATCGAATTTTGAAATCTCCAATATCTCCCACCACTAAACTGGAGTCAAGTCATTTGTAGAGGACGAAAAAATTGTGTGTAGCCGAAATGGAGTTCTTTATTGAAGTGCCAGCAAAAAGGAAGAAACGGTAAGCAAACAAAACCTCATCTTTCTTTGGTACATGCTTTACAAATTTTGACTTTTCAATCTAGAACTGCAGGTCAAATGTCTCAAATTGTACTTTGTATTATGGCAAATAACATGTATTATGTTTTTATTTTAGTGCAGGAAGTGTTACGTAAGCACAATATTATTTCCTGCTTCGAATACCCTTGCATAAATTATCTATCCAAAAGTTCCCCGTGTAAGGTCATTTTAGAAAAACAAACTGATATGCAAACAGCTGTCCTTTGTAATGTAAATGAGACATTTAATTTTTCTTTTGTGGGAGAGCCACCTGTGAATGTTTCAATATCTTTTTGTAATGTACATACTGGAGGTGATGATGTACCAGTAACGCTCCCATATGCAAGGCTTGTAATTTTTGTGATTACATTGTTAGCTCTTGGGGTGGAGTTTGTTTAGCTGCTTACTGTACAGGGTGAGTAAAACAAAAGGAAGCCCAAATGGCATTGGCAGGACCAATTATTTAATGAAGTTCTGCATGTAGCACTTTCCAAATCTAGGATATGAAAGCCCAATTAATGAGCTTTCATTTAGTACAAGAATCATTGAAATCGCTCATGAACTTTTCAAGGTATGGTATTTTGAACACAAACACTGTTTTAAAGTTCTGTCCACGGATCACCAAAAAAGGTTAGTGTTCTTTCAGCAAAACGAAAACAATTCACATAGTGATCCGTTGACAGACGTTTAAAATGGTGTTTGTTTTTAATATTCTGTAAGTTGAAAAGTGCATGAGTGATTTGGATGATTCTTGTACTTAAGAAAGCTTATTAATAGGGCTTTCATATCCTAGATTTTGAAAGTGCTACATGCAGAACTTCATTAAAAAATGGTCCTGACATTCCGGTTTCCTTACCCTGTATGGTTAAAAATTATGGTAAAAATTTGCGGCAGAGAATCGGTGCTAAATTTAAGCGTATTCGAAAACCTCGGCAACTAGCATGTACACATGGACATTTCTATCACAAACTCATAAGCAAATTCTGCTTTCAATGTCAACATTTAACTACTTTTGTGGTCTGCCTAAAAATGAACAATGGTTCTGCTATAGAAAATTGTGTGCACTGTGTAGTCCCACCAAATGTGGCCAGATCTTTTTTGTGGGAAGAGCCCGTGTAAGGATTTGTTGGAATTTCATTTTCCTGTTTTACAGTTTAAACATACCAACCATTATTAACAGTTCCAAAGCTTTCAGGAAGAGTTCTCCTTGTCAAACAAATGATCAACCTTGTGAATTTGTGAAAAAAAGAATTGGAAGTGAAAACAAATGCAAGGTGTTCTGGCAAAATGAGATGGAAACAGGCCTTAGTGGAGAAAAATGGAAAGAAAAAAAGGAATGAGGAGATTTTTTACTCCAATTTTCAGATTTATTGATATTTGTATTCTGTTATTTGGCTACTACACATACGTTAAAGTAATAGTATATAAATCATGGAATACAAGTGGTTTTAAGGAAAAGCACTAGGCATCTTGCATTTTCACGAATACAAAACTTGAAACTTTAAAGGCCTTTTTCTAAGTACTTTACTTTTTTGACAGGTCAATAAATGTGAACTTTAAACAGCCATAACTTGTCAACGGAATATCCGATTGAAGTGCAACAAACAGTATTGTAAGGAGAATTTTTGTTCTTTTTCCAAATGCACACAAACCTCATTTTGACATGTCAGAACGCCTCACAAATAACAGAGGCCTGCAAGGTCTGCTAAAATCCAGCCATAACTTGTCAACAGATTATCCGATTGAAGTACAACAAACTGTATTGTAAGGAGATTTTGTCCTCTTTCCCAATACCCACAAACCAGGGTGACCGTTTTAGCCGATTTTCAGCTAACTTTGACAGAATTATTGTAAAAAGAAACGAGTTTGACAGAATGGATTTTTTTGGCAGATTTCTGGCAGAATTCTGCAAAAATGGTTATTTGACAGAAAAACAGCAAATTTGAATTAAAACGTGTACATTTGTTTAAAAAAGCTTCAATCCTTTCAAGCAAACCCTTGCATAATCGGACAAGTTGGTTTGTCTAGGCGCTGAGGTTCACTGGGAAACGGACTTTGTCGTGACCGGATCTGTGTTTTGCCCGAAGTTTACCAATGATTTCACAACATCTTTATGTGACTAGATTGTTTATTATGTAATTTGAATCTTAATTAAGGCAATACTACCAATCTGCATGTGATTTAGTGCCTTGTGAAAATGTATAGTCCGTGGAACATATCATTAGTTTTCTGCAGACCTGCATGCAGTGTTGATTTTTTTCTAAAGTTTTGTGAAGGTTTACAGCAAATTTCCTTTGGGGTCGCGAAATCCGGTGGGTATGTATATAAAGATACTTACATCCGA